GGATCTTACTGGGATCTAACAAAGTCCGAAGATGTGAAAGAAGTTGAGAGAAACGTGGACGAAGACAAACCAGAACTGCTGACAGGCAGTCCACCGTGCCATATGTTCTCGCAACTGCAGAACATCCACTGGCACAAACTCAACCCAGAAGTGCGGGAAAAGAGAATGAAGGAAGCACTTCACCACTTGCATGTTAGTTGCAAATTGTACAGAAAGCAATATAACTCAGGCAGGTGGTTCCTACACGAAGCTCCTTGGAATGCCGGGAACTGGAAAGACCCGGAGGTAGAGGCCTTGAAAGCTCTACCAAGAGTTCGGTTGGTCAAAGGACCAATGTGTAGGTGGTCCATGACCGCAACCGACAAACGAGGGTTGCAGGGCTCAGGATATGTAAGAAAGGAAACAGGTTGGCTGACGAATAACCAGACGTTGGCAGACTTGTTGGAAGGCTAATGTTCCAACAACCAAGGTAAAGAGCCCCGGCACCGCCACATCCGCTTGATTGGAGGGATCGCCAGACAGGCAGCGATCTATCCACCAAAGTTGGTGAGTGCGGTGTTGAAAAGTCTGAAACATGAGCTGATGCAGAAAGGCGAACTTAGTTCGGCAGAAGCGAGCATCAGTGGACCTATCCCCGAAGAACCGTTCGTGGACCAGGAAGAATTCCAGGAGTGGTACTGGGACGACGTGAACGGCGGCTGGTTACCGCCGGACAAAGTCCGTGAGGCTAGGATGTTGGAAATGGACTACTTGAAGAAACAAAACGTTTACGAGAAACGACCATTATCCGAAGCCTTCCAAGTCACAGGCCGGAGACCGATAGCGGTCCGGTGGCTGGACACGGACAAGGGAGATCCAACAAGACCAAACTTCAGGTCCCGACTTGTAGTCAAGGACATCGAGGCAGCAAAAGCAGAGAGTGAGCAGTTACCGCAGAACCTACTGTTCAGCTCGACTCCTCCCCTGGAGTCGATGAGGTTGCTTTGTTCACTCATGAGCACCCAGAAGCTGTCAAAGAGAGGACAAAAGCTGAAGCTAGGTTTATGGGACATCAGTAGAGCACATTTCTATGGGATTCCAAAACGGACCATCTACATCGATTCGTACACGGAATCTGGGGAAAAGGAGTGTGGCCTGTTGATGAAGTCAATGTATGTGACACAAGATGCTCCTAACATCTGGCAGAGTCACTGGCTTGCTGGAATCGGCCGGCATAAAGCGAGGCCGCAGCAATGCAAGCGTGTTCTATCGTGAGAGCGATGGGACGCGGATCGTCGTACACGGTGACGATTTCCTAGTGTTGAGTGACAGCCAAGGTTTGCAAGAGGTAGACGATCTGTTGCGGAGTGATTACGAGCTGAAACGGCTCGGCACTTTAGGTTTCGAGGAAGGTGACGACCGAGAAATTCACTTTCTGAATCGCCTGATCAGAGTAGGAAAACACAACGGTCGACAAGCAGTTTTCTTGGAACCAGACCGAAAACACCTTGATCTCTTGATCAGAGAGTTGGGTCTGGACACAGCAAAAGGAGTGGACACACCCGATGTGAAGAAATCGGTGGACCAACAAATGTTGGAGTCCAAAAGTCCAATCCTAGGGAAAGACCTCGCAAAGACGTACCGGTCATGTGTGATGAGAGCAGCATACCTCTCACAAGACCGCCCCGACATTTCACACACAGTAAAAGACCTCGCACGGGGAATGGTTAACCCGACTGAGGCAAAGTGGAGCGATCTCAAGAGACTGGGTAGGTTTCTCAAGAAGTACCCAGGCTTCACGCAGATCTTCGCGGAGCAGCGGATGCCGAATAGCATCCGAGTGCAAGTAGACAGCGGCCATGCGGGTTGCGCTGTCACCCGAAGGTCGACGACCGGAATGATGGCTTTGTTTGAGCACGCCAGTAATGTCCAATCGACCATATCACTTTCCACGGGCGAGAGTGAGTACTACGCTCTAGTGAAGGGAGGTAGTATATACGGCGTTGGGCCTTCGATCATTGCTGCAGGATCTAGGAATAGATTTGCCAGCAGTGGTAGAATCCGACTCCAATTCGGCAAAAGGAGCCGTGAGCCGGATAGGATTAGGAAAAGCGAGGCACATACAAACCAGATACCTATGGCTGCAAGAAAGAGTAGCCATGAGCCACCTGAAGGTGTTACATGTACCCGGCAAAAGCAATCGGGCAGACGCACTGACCAAAAGCGTGCCCGGGGTGCAGATGCGTAACACAATGGAAAGGTCAGGTTACCTGTACCTGACAGAGCGGAGCAAAGGTCAGATGCGGCTGTTGGACTCATAATCCAGAGGCCCTGGCCAGACTCCACTACCTAGGAATGCACGCTGTACAGTGTATAGTACCGGCGAACTGGATAAGCCAGTTCTTGTGTAAGGAGGAGTGCAGAAATATATATCACCATAATGCACAGCTGGGTGAGCCTAATGCATTCCCTGCGCCACTACGTTTTGGCTCAAGTAAAAGAGGCGCTCCGTAGCGCCCAGGTTTGTGAGCAAATAGTTTTGCATTCGCACCACAACGGGGTGCAACTTTTCATCTTTCATCTCCCCAGATGTCTCCGCACCCGCCGCTTTAGCGAGCCTACTTTTCGACTCTCCGGAGCCACGTTGGAAAAACGCAATGTTTCGTGACTTTCCTACCTTTTCGCGCGCCTGCAATTTTCTTTCTTCTCATCTTCCCTCTTCTGACTCTTCTCCCCTCTGGCTCTTCTCACCTCTGCTTTTTCATCTGTCCATATTGTCGGAAGTTTAACTTCTAAACTTCCTTCGAATATGTGTGCACTTGAAGCAACGGAAACCAAGCTAGGAACGTGTCATGTATTTGTACATATGTGTTCCTTGCTAGGGCCCGGAAACTTCATGGTCGGTTGGCATTTTGGCTTCACGTGCCCCACGGTCAAACCTTTCTTCTCCCACCTCCATCCCCTATGCTCCACCGTTCTGCTTGGAGTGACGTGGTGGGTGTCTTTTGCCCCCCCGTATTCAGCTTGTCTTTGGTTGTGATGTATCATCCCGGTTTTGGATGGCATCAGTCAAGTGGGGATACGTTTGGTTAGGTTGACATGCGCTTTAATTGGGACCCGCTGGTATCTTTTATGTTGTGCATAGTTCCACACCTAACCTGTTTGCACCAGTATCGAAAAAGGGGAACATTAGCATGCTGCTGCTGCGACATGTATCACTTGACTGTATGTACACTACATGTAGTCTGCATTCAGTTTAATATGTGTGCGCTTGAAGCAAAGGAAGCCAAGCTAGGAACTCCTATTCAATCCTTCTCGAACCCAATCCTTTTCCAATTCGTTTCTTTTCACTCAATCCTCCTTCAGTCCATTCTACAGGTCCGGAACTCGGAAGTTTCTCATGTAAACTTCCTTTGGCCAGGTCTTCATCGAGAATGCTTCTCAAATATTCCTTCACCTTCTCTTGATTTTTTTTTGTGACAAACTGTCTCAGGCTTGCTGGAATTCAGACGCAACAGAAGGTTTGGTAAGTTCAGAGCTAGTGTGTAGCGTTTGCATAAATGCAAAGCCATGTTTTCATTGCAGGGGGGCACAGAAGGCCCATAGAGCTTTCCCAAACGAAGCTCTCTATTGTGTCCTTATATACAGGCTGATCACCTGGACGTACCTACCAATTTGCAATTTGAACGAGAAGGGGCTAGCCCAAAGACGTCTATGCCATTTTGTGTTTCGATGTCAAAAGCTCACGGTAGCTGCAACCACGTTTTTCGCATCAATGACCATCGGCGCAATCAGCTTCATATTTCAGGTTGCAAAAACCATTTGCGGCCCTAATTGTGCACGCAGGCAGACGAGACCCATTGGCCAACTACGACATTGCGTCGATACAAATTTCAAATGATGGTCTTTTCGAATTTCACCTAAATGCCCCGGAGTCAGACCCGATTGGCTCCTGTCCAAGCATGAGGCCGCGGCGGCCGCGGCTGGGTGGAGAATTGAAAACAAGAACCCCACACCAGGATGTGAGCAAACAACATCAGAAACCAACATCAAATGGCACAAAGTTGGCAAAAACGACACAGAGTATATAATACAGAGTGATACATACAGAGTGATCCACACTGATTTCAAAAACTCACCATGTCGGTCATCTCATTGATGTCACCACGAGAAACAAACTTCTTCTCCTTGACGGCGTCGACCAGTACTGCAGGAACCGTGTACTCATCCTTGATCTTGTAGATGGTCTTTCGATCGCAGATTCCTGACATTTCCTTCTCTATGGTCTTCTCATGGTTCCAGAGGTCCTTGAAGAATTCCTTCTTGCCACCTTTCTTGTACTCCAGTGTGAGTTTCTTTCTCTGGCTTAAGGTTCTCAAGTGGAAGTGGAATCTTGGATTTCCTAACATCGTGTAGTCTTGTTCGAGGGTCTCTGCGATGTCTCAAAAATTCTGGACGATGTTCATCAACTGGCCAGTAGTCAGAAAAGTGAAAAAATGATGTTCTTCTTTTTGATGATCTTCACTTTCAACTGTTGACAGGCCATGTCCATGCGAGGGGTTCATGGATGATGGTGTTTGCGCACGTGCCAGCATGTGCCGCATATGCAAGAGGTGCATATTGGAACACCGAAAAAAACAAAATCATTTGTTCGCCACTGAAACGTTGTGAAAATCCATTCAGGGTGTAATACTAAATGTTTCTGAGATCATTGTGCAGAAATAAGCCGCTTAGTCTCGCGGTGTTGCAAAATTCAATATGCACACAATCCCAGACAGGAGCAACAAATAGCATCAAATAGCATGATGTGAACATCATGTGACAAATTTTGAAAAAGGTCGTTGCTTGAAGGTTAGGGATATGCTGCCACAGTTTTTGACCGGCATTCTCGGCTAAAGAGAGTCAGATGATCAAATATGATACATCATTTAAGACGCTGATCGCAAGGCTCAAGGTTGCCGACCGTTGGGACCGCTACAGGTTTTTCAGCTCACATTGCTTGAGCATAGAGGGCCCTCAGGATGGCCGAACCCATGCGAGATGGAAAGATGGTGGACGGGAAGATTGCTTTGTCGACATCTCTGTGGGACACTAGCCTGGAAATGCCTCCACGTCAGGATGCATCGGAGGTAGATGCACGTGATGCTGGTACACCGGACAACTGGATCAAGAGGCACCCAGCCATGCTGCGCAACACTGGAGCACATCCCTTCAACTCAGAGGCACCGTTGAAGCACTTGCAGGAAGCTGGTTGGATCACTCCTCCTTCTTTGCATGTGGTACGGAACCATGGTGCTGTGCCGCAGCTTTCCTGGTCTGAGCACAAGTTGAAAATCACAGGAGTGCCAAAACCCATTGACCTCAGCATGGAGCAGATTGCCTCCGGAGAATGGGGAAGCATCGTTTCCATGCCGGTCACCTTCATTTGTGCAGGCAACCGTCGGAAGGAACAAAATATGACCAAGAAGACTGTTGGTTTTGATTGGGGGGCAGGCGCTGTTGGCAACTCTGTTTGGACAGGGGTTCGGCTGTGCGATGTGCTTGCAGCAGTGGGCATCACTCGGCCTTCGAAGGAGCATCGCTTTGTTCATTTTGAGGGTCCCTTGGGTGAACTGCCTCAAGGCAAGACAGGTTCCTACGGAACTTCCATTGACTTGGGCTGGGCCCTTGACAGAGAACGAGATGTGCTGCTTGCTTTCAAGCAAAACGGAGAGCGTTTAACTCCAGACCATGGTTTCCCATTGCGCACACTTCTGCCTGGCTGCATTGGGGGCCGCATGATCAAGTGGCTCAGCAGCATGTGGGTTTCTTGGCAGCAGGAAAGTAAGAGTCATTCTGTTGACCCATACTTGAATATCAAAAAATGGTTTGGTCCCTTGGTAGCAAGACAAACACATGGGCCATTCATTGCTTACCTAGCCGACTGAGCCAAAGCATTTTTGATATTTTTTGCAATGCTGTTCTTTCAGCTTGATGACTTTATAGTTGACAGTCAACAAATCATAGCATCCCCGTCATTGATGGCTTATGAAATGAGTAACCTTTGCTCCTTTTCAAATTCCGTTTGGGGGTACCATTCTATAGCTGTGTGGTCTTGGCATCCCGTGCCTCACACTTTGTTGATGGTTGGGTTTACATTCTATCAGGTTTCAATCGGGTTTAGTCAAGACCAAGGTTCACCTTCATAAGCATACTTTGGTCAACCCATTTTATCATTTTCTTGTCTGGAAAACTACACGCACAAATGTGTTTTTCAAACCAGCATGACTGTGCAAAATGTGGGAAACCGTGGTGAAGCGTGGTTGAATCAAAAACTTGATGGTATAATATAGAGATTCTCGTCTGTGCTTTTGTCGCCCGATGACGTTTGGAAAAGATGGCACATCACATAAATGGTTCTGTGATACTGATTTCTCCCGCTCTCTCCTAATGCTGTCCGCTGGCTGCCGGGTAAAAAAACAGTGAAATCATTTAAAGCCTGCTTTCTGTGATGTCGTTTTTCCCTGCTCTCTCCTGCTGCTGTTCGCCAGCTGCTGGCTGTAAAAATCTGTAAAATGTACGACCAGGCCTGTGGCACTGTTTTTCCCGTTCTTCCATGCTGATAGCGTGGTTGGGCTTTTGGATTCATATCAACCCGACAAAGAAGCTAGTGGCCCAAAAGCCAAAAGAAGAAACAACAGACTAGACATGGAAAAAGCCTTAGGCAAGATGGAAGCCGAGACCCGGAATGCATGTCACGTTTTGTCCATGGAGGGTAATGCTTGACTCTCTTGCTTGACACTCTTGTAGGACACTCTTGCTTGACAAACTTGTGGGACACTTTCGCTTGACACTCTTTGGGGACTCTCTTGCTTGACACTGTTGTGGGACACTCTTGCTTGGCAAACTTGTGGGACACTTTCGCTTGACACTCTTTGGGGACACTCTTGCTTGACACTGTTGTGGGACACTCTTGCTTGACAAACTTGTGGGACACTTTCGCTTGACACTCTTTGGGGACACTCTTGCTTGACACTGTTGTGGGACACTCTTGCTTGACAAACTTGTGGGACACTTTCCCTTGACACTCTTTGGGGACACTCTTGCTTGACACTGTTGTGGGACACTCTTGCTTGACAAACTTGTGGGACACTTTCGCTTGACACTCTTTGGGGACACTCTTGCTTGACACTGTTGCGGGACACTCTTGCTTGACAAACTTGTGGGACACTTTCGCTTGACACTCTTTGGGGACACTCTTGCTTGACACTGTTGTGGGACACTCTTGCTTGACAAACTTGTGGGACACTTTCGCTTGACACTCTTTGGGGACACTCTTGCTTGACACTGTTGTGGGACACTCTTGCTTGACAAACTTGTGGGACACTTTTGCTTGACACTCTTTGGGGACACTCTTGCTTGACACTGTTGTGGGACACTCTTGCTTGACAAACTTGTGGGACACTTTCGCTTGACACTCTTTGGGGACACTCTTGCTTGACACTGTTGTGGGACACTCTTGCTTGACAAACTTGTGGGACACTTTCGCTTGACACTCTTTGGGGACACTCTTGCTTGACACTCTTGTAGGACACTTGCTTGCTTGACAAACTTGTGGGACACTTTCGCTTGACACTCTTTGGGGACACTCTTGCTTGACACTGTTGTGGGGACACTCTTGCTTGACACTGTTGTGGTACACTCTTGCTTGACAAACTTGTGGGACACTTTCGCTTGACACTCTTGGGGACACTCTTGCTTGACACTGTGTGGGACACTCTTGCTTGACAAACTTGTGGGACACTTTCGCTTGACACTCTTTGGGGGACACTCTTGCTTGACACTGTTGTGGGACACTCTTGCTTGACAAACTTGTGGGACACTTTCGCTTGACACTCTTGTGGGACACTCTTGCTTGACACTGTTGTGGGACAACTCTTGCTTGGACAAACGTGGGACACTTTCGCTTGACACTCTTTGGGGACACTCTTGCTTGCACTGTTGTGGGGACACTCTTGCTTGACTTGTGGGACACTTTGTTGTGGGGGGACACTCTTGCTTGACAAACTTGTGGGACACTTTCGCTTGACACTCTTTGGGGACACTCTTGCTTGACACTGTTGTGGGACACTCTTGCTTGACAAACTTGTGGGACACTTTCCCTTGACACTCTTTGGGGACACTCTTGCTTGACACTGTTGTGGGACACTCTTGCTTGACAAACTTGTGGGACACTTTCGCTTGACACTCTTTGGGGACACTCTTGCTTGACACTGTTGCGGGACACTCTTGCTTGACAAACTTGTGGGACACTTTCGCTTGACACTCTTTGGGGACACTCTTGCTTGACACTGTTGTGGGACACTCTTGCTTGACAAACTTGTGGGACACTTTCGCTTGACACTCTTTGGGGACACTCTTGCTTGACACTGTTGTGGGACACTCTTGCTTGACAAACTTGTGGGACACTTTAGATTGACACTCTTTGGGGACACTCTTGCTTGACACTGTTGTGGGACACTCTTGCTTGACAAACTTGTGGGACACTTTCGCTTGACACTCTTTGGGGACACTCTTGCTTGACACTGTTGTGGGACACTCTTGCTTGACAAACTTGTGGGACACTTTCGCTTGGCACTCTTTGGGGACACTCTTGCTTGACACTGTTGTGGGACACTCTTGCTTGACAAACTTGTGGGACACTTTCGCTTGACACTCTTTGGGGACACTCTTGCTTGACACTCTTGTAGGACACTCTTGCTTGACACTCTTGTAGGACACTCTTGCTTGACAAACTTGTGGGACACTTTCGCTTGACACTCTTTGGGGACACTCTTGCTTGACACTCTCGTAGGACACTCTTGCTTGACACTCTTGTAGGACACTCTTGCTTGACAAACTTGTGGGACACTTTCGCTTGACACTCTTGTAGGACACTCTTGCTTGACACTCTTGTAGGACACTCTTGCTTGACAAACTTGTGGGACACTTTCGCTTGACACTGTTGTGGGACACTCTTGCTTGACCACTGTTGTAAGGAACACTCTTGCTTTGACAAACTTGTGGGACACTTTCGCTTGACACTCTTTGGGGACACTCTTGCTTGACACTGTTGTGGGACACTCTTGCTTGACAAACTTGTGGGACACTTTCGCTTGACACTGTTGTGGGACACTCTTGCTTGACACTGTTGTGGGACACTCTTGCTTGACAAACTTGTAGGACACTCTTGCTTGACACTGTTGTGGGACACTTTCGCTTGACACTCTTTGGGGACACTTTCGCTTGGCACTCTTTGGGGACACTCTTGCTTGACACTGTTGTGGGACACTCTTGCTTGACAAACTTGTGGGACACTTTCGCTTGACACTCTTTGGGGACACTCTTGCTTGACACTGTTGTGGGACACTCTTGCTTGACAAGCTTGTGGGACACTTTCGCTTGACACTCTTTGGGGACACTCTTGCTTGACACTGTTGTGGGACATCTTTGGGGACACTCTTGCTTGACAAACTTGTGGGACACTTTCGCTTGACACTCTTTGGGGACACTCTTGCTTGACACTCTTGTAGGACACTCTTGCTTGACACTCTTGTAGGACACTCTTGCTTGACAAACTTGTGGGACACTTTCGCTTGACACTCTTTGGGGACACTCTTGCTTGACACTCTCGTAGGACACTCTTGCTTGACACTCTTGTAGGACACTCTTGCTTGACAAACTTGTGGGACACTTTCGCTTGACACTCTTGTAGGACACTCTTGCTTGACACTCTTGTAGGACACTCTTGCTTGACAAACTTGTGGGACACTTTCGCTTGACACTGTTGTGGGACACTCTTGCTTGACAAACTTGTGGGACACTTTCGCTTGACACTCTTTGGGGACACTCTTGCTTGACACTGTTGTGGGACACTCTTGCTTGACACTCTTGTAGGACACTCTTGCTTGACAAACTCGTGGGACACTTTCGCTTGACACTCTTTGGGGACACTCTTGCTTGACACTGTTGTGGGACACTCTTGCTTGACAAACTTGTGGGACACTTTCGCTTGACACTCTTTGGGGACACTCTTGCTTGACACTCTTGTAGGACACTCTTGCTTGACAAACTTGTGGGACACTTTCGCTTGACACTCTTTGGGGACACTCTTGCTTGACACTGTTGTGGGACACTCTTGCTTGACACACTTGTGGGACACTTTCGCTT